AGGTCGTGTACACACACACACACACACACACACACACACACACACACACACCTATTTAAGCTAAAGGACAATGTTGGCACAAAAACATATGGGCATAAACTGGCTATGAATAAATTTAGGCTGGAAGTTAGAAGAATTTTTCTAACCATCAGCGGAGTGAGGTTCTGGACCAACCTTCCAATTGCAGTAATGGAGGCAAACAACCTAACTAATTTTGATGGAGCTTGATAAATTTATGAATGGGATTGTATGACATGGGTTGCCTGTGGCAATATAGGACTGGACTTGACGATCCAGAAGTTCCTTTCCAGTCCTATGTACCAGTGATTTCAGGTCCCAGGTTTGAGTCTTTTAGGCCTGGGGGTTAGAAAAGCCTTATTTTTACTTGAAAATAGGAAGTTTAAATGTGGAAATAACTGAAACACAACAAACAAGAACAGGTTTCAGAGTGGTAGCCATGTTAGTCTGTATCAGCAAAAACAATGCGGAATTCTTGGGGCACCTTAGAGACTAACAAATTTATTTGGGCATAAGCTTTCGTGGGCTAGAACCCACTTCATCAGATGCATGGAGTGGAAAATACAGGATCAGGGAATCAAACAGGGAATCTCCACAATGCTAATTATGTGTGAGAGACCTTTCAAAGTAGAAATGTACTTTGAAGTTTTACTAAGCTAAACAAAGGCATAAAACAAAACAAACAACAAACCAATCCACTGTTACAAGGCATAAAACAATAAATAGAAGTGGCTGTGAAATACAGCATGTCAAAACTCTCAGCTAGCAGGGAAACTCAACCTACTTCACCACAGTCTAAAAAGGCACCTAATCCAATGATATATGCTTCAATTTTGACAGGCCCCTAATGATTGCTAAATCAGGAACCAGCAGTAGAGAGGAAGTTCATGTGAGAACAGATGTTTGACTAGGTGGTGCTGAGGGACACCACTTTCTCATAGTAATCTGGGTGGTTCTTTATCAAACAGGCAGGGGAGGAGAGGCAGGAAACCAAAAGGACACAGTCAGCAGTTGGCAGGACATTGGGCTGCTTTTGTGAGATTGGGGAGAAGATTAAATTTTCTGGAGGACAAGCAATTCTCTATGTTCTAAGAGTTAAACTGTACTCTCCCATTCCCTTTCAAAAATACAATATTGAATCTTAAGTATCTTTCTTCCAGTTCCCAGCCAGAAGAGATGAATTTAACAGATGGTGTTAAATTTTAAAATAATGGCAATTTGCAAATAAACACACTGTATTTATCTTTGTTACATACCCCATTCTCTGTACGTTTCTCCACAGGTATATTTATTCCATTTCTCTGATTTTGGGTCTGACGCCCACCTAAAAATAAAGTATCAATCTCATTAGCAAGGGGGGGTTTTTTGGTTTGTTTTTAATTCAGAAGGTTTTCACTGTAAAACAACAACTATATCTGTACAAATTACAATCACTCTTTAACAAATCAGCTTTTTGTAAGTTTAATTTCCTTCCTTACAAACTACAATAACTACATTATATTTGTCATTTGGTAAAAAAAAAATCAAAAGCAATTAAAAAATTGATATATTATTAAGGGTTTTTCTTCTTTTGGGAGGCGAGGGAGCAGGTGTTATTGTTTTTAATACAATGGGTAGTTAATCAAGTTTACTTGAAGCTCAGCCAAACAGCACTGAGCTTTTTTCACACCAATACTGAAGTGATTTGTAAAATTAAGAGTTACTTAAAATATTCTTTCTAATCCTCTACAAACCAGCCCATATATATCACTATTTATTACAGTATCAAGTTTTGTTTTGTTTTGTCTTTTTACAATAAGATTCCAATGCCATTAAAAAGAGGCTACATATGAACTATTTGACAAGACAGGTTTATCAAAAGAATAGATTGACTGCTTTAGTTGTTGCCAATATTCATTTTAACACGGAACTATTCCTCTTGGTTGTGAGCACAAAGTTTCCTTTCACTGTCAATTCTGCCAATTCCTACTATATGAATCCAAACCTTTGGCATTAGGTTACTCTTTGTAGGTGGCAGAGTCAGCAAAAGTAGAAAATGTTGACTTCATGGCCTGACTGTATTAAGATCTGTAATGGTCGGCTCTGTGTTTTTCTGCCTCAAACAAGTTTTGTTGCCACAAACATCCAAGAAATAGTGTTATAGTACTTAAGTCAGTGAACTGAGCATCATGTTGTCACAGTTTGACTGCTAAAACCTCATATTTCTGTGCCCACATGAAACAGTAGTTCTGGCTGAGTACATTGCAAATGTATATATTAGAGGCCGTTTCCCAGATGCCTTGCAAAGTTCCTTAATATAAAGCTTGATTAATCTTACCATGGTTGATTTAGACGACTTGCATGCCTGATTTAGAAAGGGCAAGCATGTTTTCCATGTACGTAAAACTCCAGGCCATGTTTAAAACATATTTAATACATATACATTTATATTGCACTTTAAATCACAGAGGATGGTTAAGCACTTTACAGTGTATACAAATCAGTATGTACTGACATCCCTTCATGCACTACTGAACTTCACCTACTGTCAAAAATCAACGAGCCTTTCTGTACTACTATATTCTACAGTTTTCAAGAGAGGTAGTGGGAATCCCTTATTCCACTGAAACTATAGAAATAATTTTGGTGGACAGGGTAACTATGTCTGTTGGAACTTGGCTATGGCATCAATAGAATAGAAACATTGATTTAATTTCTATGACCACAAATGGTCAGTATCTCAATTTTAAGTCTGATCATGACTCAAATATATGTAGAGCAATATCCCTTAGTGCATAAGGTAAAAGTTAATGTAGGGACTAAACCTGGGCCACTTTTAGTAATCTAAACCATCATCTATGCTTCAGGTTCCTCCCCACTGTTGTAAAACTAATGAGCCAAAAAATACCTCCTTTAGAAAACTTTACATATGGAACAACCAAAAAAGGTTCAAAGGGAGAATTAATTAAAGCAATCAAGACTAAGCTGAGACGTAAGAAAAAGTTACTTGTTAGAGATGGGCCAATAGGCATCTCAATTGGTGATTCCTTCATAGCCTTCAGGACAGATTAATTGACCATGACACAGTGAGCACATATACAAGTACAATCTCAAAGTTTTCTTGTAAATTAACTATGATCTATCTCTGTTTGATCAGAGAAAATAGATTCTATTAAATCCCTTAAGGTTCTTCTGATTTAATACTACACTCTTCGATAGAAAGCTTCTTTCTAAAAGTCAAGCAGACGATAGGGTTTTCTTGATAGAAATTGCTACTCCATTTTTTTTTAAATATAGCTAGATGAAGTAGTAGAGGAGTCTGTCAGGGATATTTTGCAAAATAGATTTTAATCTCTCTCTCTCTCTCTCGGATCAAAGTCATTTGCTTGGAGAAGCACAGTGCCCTCTTTCAGGGAAGTAAAACAAGGGACCTTGCCTTTAATATAAAAACTGCTTTAAGCCTTGCATACCCATCATCATTTCTGGATCAGTATCAAAAGGAACAAAAAAACTGCTTTACGAAATAAAGCAAAACATATTTTTCTGTTAAGCTGTCCTCATAAGAGGCAAGTGTAATTGTTTCTCACTTCTCCTCTGTCTTTTGATACGTGGTACTTGTGTTCTGTTGTAATGACAGAAAAGGCATTCAGCATTCTAACTAGTTCTGGAGTGAAACATTTGAAACTCATTTATGCCATTTCCGGCACCAAAGCATGCAAGTTACAGGGAGGTGGATTAGTGCCCATAACTATTCTGATCAGATTTTCTGCCAAAAGAGTGAAAAAAAATTAAGATCAATATATTTATAATAAATAATAATAATAATAATAATAGAACAAGCAAAAGTGAAATGCTTAGGAATCCCCTTTATCGGTTTTAATGGAGAAAATGTGATTTCAGCAGCTAACCTGTAACCGTACAGTAAAAAAAGAGAACAAGAAAGTGAGAAATTTGTGCAAGATACAATTCTATAGAAAAGACAGGAGAACAGAAGTTAATTGTCTCAAGGATTATTGGAAGAAGTGTACTTCTCCAGCTAGGTTGCTACTGCAGAAGTGTGAATAGTCAAGTGAAGCAAAACAAAGAGCCTAAGCGGAGGCAGCTGGTCACTAGGAGCCGGTACACCTGAGCCTGATCAATAATTCCACAGCTATCGGCCACACTAGGTACTATAGTGTGTAGCTGATATTGCAAGTTGCAGTGCTGCCTGTTGCCACTAATAGACACCTGTTCCGCTCTTGGAAGCTCCAGCAGCCATTGGTGCCACACCCCCTGACTTGAAGTGGTTTCCATCATATACAGGGTTTACAGTTTGGTTCACTGGCACCCCCACTGTACAAATTGTTCCAGCACCCCTGCCAGTGGCTACAGGGTATCTGGCTATCACCAGGAAACTCCTGAAGGGGATAGTTCAGAGAGGGACATTCATGACTGTGGAAAGGTATTTAAGGCAGGGATTCTCAAACTTTTTGATCACATGAATCACTTCCTTATAGAGTGTGTCTTGGGGAAACACCTCCCCTCCCACCACAGCTGCATAATATCCTTATGGGAACTAGAGTAATTGCTTACATGGAGAAATATTAGGAAAGTAATGAATTTTTAGGAGTCTTTGAATGTGAATTAGCAGAAAAAAGGATGCTGAATTTATATACTAAATTTATTTTAAGCAATAATATTCCTTTTAAAGCCAAGTTAAATGCATGCTTGAATAACTGAATGTTGGCAGTTTTCTAGCTTCATTTGTTTTTGAGAGTGAATTTTAATAAAATAAAGTCACTTTCCAGTGGAATTCTGATTTTTGTTATTCTAGTTCTCCACTTTACTGCCCTCACCCCTAAATGACCTCCCTCTCTTGAGTTTTAGATTACCACTGTTAATAGCTGGTATAATACAAAAAAGAATTCCCAGGATATATTTTGGAATAAAATGAATAATTCTGCATTTGTGACAAACTGAAATAATACATTTAGGAAATGAACATTAATTTTAAAAGACATTTCCAATCTAACAAAGTGGTGTAAAAAGTTATCACGCTCAGTCATTGAAATTTTAAGTAGAAAAACAAAAGAATTAAAAATGTAAACAAATTCTAATCTGTGACTAATAAACTCCTACATCAGATGGAAGTGTTCAAAGTCCAGAGGCAATGAGTTTTTGTTTTTTTTAATTAGTCAGGAGTGCCAAACATAACACTTAACACATTAACAGAATAAATATATCGCAGAAGAAAAATAAATCAATGGATAGTCAATAATTCCTATACGAACACTATTCTTATATACTGCAGGAATGGGAGAGGGAGCCTTTTTAATGTAACAGTCAATTTCATACTATGGAAAAAAGGGGACATACATTTTTTGTTCATTTCTTACATTTAGCATTAGGGGCATTTATACTAAATATGCTATTCCATGCTCAAACAGCACATAAGTGAGGGGAAGTTAATATTTCCTGGTGAACACTTTCAAAGCCATGGTCAAATAAGCCTTTTGGCAACACATTTTATAAAATTATACAATGTGCATCAATAAAGTGTATGAATAATTATGTATTATATTAGGCTAATACAGTGTTGTGGCCGCTATGGCGATTTCCTGCAATATCTTGAACATACTTTACTGAATTAAGTTAAACCTTCATTGTATTAAAAATGTAAATGTTTACATATTATATGGGATTATATGTCTTAGAGGAGACCTGACTAATGTAAACCCTGGTAAGTGTTATGAGCATCAAAGGACTATTTGAAACAATGCAAACTTTTAAAATGAAGTGGGTTTCCCAAGAAATCTCTAAGGGGAGGGATATGCACATGTAACACCTCAAGTTATGCAAAAATCCAGCCTTTTGAAGCTAGGGCCCTGAGCAGAAGAAACTCATTGTTTACGAATTACCTCTTCCCAGTGTGCTTGTTGTGAGCTAACAGTTGTGATGGACTTGTGATCACAGAAAACCCCCTTGGTGGGGTCTGAAGGATTGTTCACCTGCCAGAGCCTTTGTGGGTGTTGGGGTGATCTCTGGTAACCTTATCACCATGCATGTCTTCTCTGTAATGCTTTTATCTTAAGAAAAAATTGCTTAGAAAGAGCTATGTGGTAACTTAACTGAGGGCAATTGTGCTGTTTATAGCCTCTAAGAAGAAGGCAAGGCAGTCTGATTTGCTGGGAATTCACAGTGTAGGCATGGAACTTGCAGCCTGGAGATTCCCTTCCTCCTAATGAGGGTGACATATGTCTCTGTCCAAGAAAGGTGATGACTGGGGAGCCAGAAGCCTAAGAGTGGGTGCCCTTACTGGACCATGAGAGGGAATACAAGTACAGCTGCCCTGAACTGTGACAAATGCTAACAATTTTAATGCATTCCTGTAAATAATTCTATAAAGCAATTTGATTAATGAGCTTTAGTTATTAAGGCAGTGAGTTTGTCAAGTTGCGTGACCTCTGTGACTTCTGCAGTGGCTGGTGCGCCTGGCCCGGGGGCAGTCCAGGCAGCCCCTGTGCAAGTCACACCAGCTGCTGCAGGGGCAGTCTCGGGCCACCGCGCTTCCACTCACCCTCCCTCCCCAGCAGCAGCAGAGTTTGGGTGTGGGAGGGGGCGGGGGGTTCGAACACAGGATGGGGTGAGGCGGGCTCTGGGAGGCGCTTACCTGTGAGGCTCCCTGGAAGCGGCAATATCCCCCTCGCTCAGCTCCTAAGCAGAGGAGTGGCCAGGGAGATCTGCCTCTGCCCAGAGCGCCAGCTTTGTGGCTCCCATTGGCCAGGAAATGGGAGCTGCGGGGGGAAGGGGGGAGAAAGGGGGTGCCTGCAGGCGGAGGCAGTACGCCTCCGCCTAGGAGCTGAGTGAGGGGGATGTCACTGCTTCTGGAGAGCCCCCCAGATAAGCGCCGCCCAGAGCCTGCCTCACCCCCTCCCATGCCCCAACCCCTTGACCCCTCCCACACCCAAAATCTGCTGCTGCTGCTGCTGGGGTGTGAGGCACAGAGCCAGGTAGGGAGCCTGCTGGCCCCGCCCCTCCCCAATACCAGCTGGGGTCCCAAGCCACACGCTGCTGCCCATTCCCCCTCCAGCACCAGTTATTATCGGTGTAAGGTAAGTGTACTTACTCTGTTCATTGCTTTCAGCTGGAGATTCCTCATGCCGAAGAAAAAATTTCACTTCTTCCCTGCGGGGTCCCCACTTCTGTAGATGGTCATACATCATGTGATCAAAGGGTATATGGCGTTCTGAAAGTATAGAATATTATATTTCTGAGTCCAGCAACTTCTTACAAAGTAACATTAAAAAAAATGCTTCTAAATGTGGGTGCCTTTTTGGCACTTCAAGCAGTCATCTGACAACTCAGCATGTAGAAAACTAATTCAAAATAAAAGCAGAAACAGGAAAAAAATAACTGCAACAGCATATTAATATACTATTAAAATAATAATTAATTACATAACAATAGTGACGTAATTTTAGATAGTACAACCACCTACATAAATTTCAAAGTTTATAATCCTACTATGCACACGTTTAAGTTTTGCCAGGAATTCTCCATCACCTTCTGTGACATTATATGACTAAAACATGACCATGTAAATCACTGTTGCTACCACTGTTTATCCTATTTGTATGCATGCATCATTTTTGTATCTGAAATTATGAATTTTGGTGTATAACTATTTAAAATGTGTTTGCTCTTGGATAAACCCACAAGATATTTGCATCCAGTCTAGCCAGCGCATTGTGAAGGGAATACCTAGATTGACATCCCATCAACGAACACAACAGACCATGAAAGAAGCTTATCCACACCTGATGGACTTTCCTGAGAACATTTTAGCTAGAATATGGGTAATGACTCATTGAAGCATGCAAGGGCATGTGACTACATCATGTGGTACTGAACTCCATCTTGTGTGCCTGTACTTTTCCAGAAACTGTGCTGAGGACTCTGCCTGGAACAACGAGTTTCCCTCAACATAGGAGAAGCTATAAAAGGCCCTGGAAACATCTCCATTTTGCCTCTTCCTTGCTATGATCTCTGGATTATGGATTTATACTAATGGGAGCATTCTAACCAAGGGACTAAGGACCTTCCAATCATTTGGAAGCAACCAGAGACTTAACAAGCCAGCAGTTTATGCCATCACTACTTGAAACTTGATCCAAGAACTTTGCAATTATTGTATGTATTTGATTCCTTTAACCAATTTAAACTCTCACCTCTTTCTTTTCTCTTATAAATAAACCTTTAGATATTACATATTTAAAAAGATTGGCAACAGCAAGATTACTGGGTAAGATCTGAGTTATATATTGACCTGGGTATATGGCTGGTCCTTTGGGATCAGAAGAAATCTTTGATTGATAAAATTGGTTTTAAATAACCACTCATCATTAAGTCTAGTGTCTGGATGTTGAATCCAGGACTGGAAAACCTAAGGAGGCTACATTTCTGACTTTTTGTTAGCCAGGGTGGTGAGACAGAAGTTTTGTTGCTGGGTTGGTATATCTTATGGAAGAATAACCACCAGTTTTGGGGTGTGTCTGCCCTATTTCTCAGCAGTTTGTCCTGAATTTAGTATTCTCAGTTGTGACCCACTGAGGCACGGTGACATTTAAATTTTGCCAGGAATTATCCCTCACCTACACCCTTTTCAGATAGTTAAACCTTCCAACTCTGCTCTCCTTTGCCGATTGGGTTTTCTGTGCCGGTTATGAAAGCATCACACTCAGTCTGAACCATAAGACTTCCAATGAAGTCCACCAGACTAAAGTCATGTATAATACACATGTATAATGATAATTCACCCCTAAGAATTTAGTTATGTGCTACCACTCTAAGACAGTAGATTACACAATAGTCACTAATACAGCAGAAACTGGTACAAGATGACAGTAATCAACAAATCCAGGAGTAAAATCCAGACTAAATTTTCTGCAGTATTACAATTAAATCTCTCTCTCTCTCATATACACACACACTCACACACACACACACACACACACACACACACACACACACACACCATTTCTCAAAAATTTTGCACAAGGTGTTTATTTTAGAAATAAACTTACTAGCAGAAGAATAAGCAACATATAATTAATCTTGCAAAAAGTTTAAATGTTATTTCCAAATTTCTAAAAATCAATTATAAGTATAATTCTGAAATATTTTTTTTAATCAGTGTTTAAATAGTACTGCACAAGTTAGAAAACCTATGAAGAGTGCCATTTTTCTACTAATAGGCAGGAATATAAGATAAATTAAGAAGTATCTCATACTCCATTCAAGTCATCAGAAAAGGCACTATTTTAAAACCCAATTTTAAAGATACAATTTATTTATTAAACAAAAACAAACAAACAAATCAGGTAAATCAAAATAAGGTGTCTAACAGTGAGAAGTTTACCAGTATAATCTTATACCAATATAATTCTATAAATTTAAGCTGATAAGCTTCCCTATGTAGACCAGCCCTACTTTTTTTTAGTTAATATTTGGTTTTTAACTTTTATTTTACTGATAAGAAATGTTTCAGTAATTTCCAATGAAGAGAGGTAACTTCACTCTTCCCTGAGGAATGGTGTCCTCCATCCCCTTCCCTACTTCTTCAGCCTAGTACTCAGACCACTCCCAAAGGCCACCTGGAATCTCTTGCAGCAGCCAGGATGTGATGGGCCTTGTGAGAACATTAGCCTGATGAAACAGGGGATTCAGGTTATTTTCATTTTAGTGTTTTGTCTGGACACTTCCTGACAATGAAGAGAAAACGAAATTAAAAAGATCTTTATCAAAAGATCATCTTCAAAGTCTAATGTCTTTCTTGTTGTCTTCAAAGCAGTAGGAGTCTGAGTGTTTTCTTTTTAAACTTTTTAAACTTCCCTCCATTGAAAGTAAAAAGGAACTTCAATCTCAGAGAAAATCTTATTCGACATTGGTGAGGCCTCATCTGGAATACTGTGTCCAG